TCATTATATTAGCGTTAGCCGCGCTTATGCTAACGATTAACTACTTATACACTAACGGCGATGTTTATTTCGATCCGAAATTCAAATTAAAATATAGAAGCTCTAAATATTAAAAATGTAATTGTAACTTACCTGCTTGAACTTGATCGGGGTGTTTTGTTATTTGAACAAAACCCCCCCAATCGCATTTCGAGGGGGTCCCCGTTAAAAATCGCATTCCGAGGATAAAATATGCATGTTTTGGCGGGGTTCCCTGGTAAAATTCGCATTCCAGGGGCTAAATATCACTTTACTGGGTCGTTTTTCAACCCGGGGACATAAAAAACAACCCGCGGCAACAAAGTGTTAAAGCAGCCCAATTCCGCGGGAAAACCACAGACTTGGCAACACTGGAAGAGGATAGCTTTCGGATAGCGCATCAAGAACCGGGTCGACCGGGTACTCGGTACCACCGGTACTTAAAAAAACCTGGTACTGTAACGTTTTCATTTTTTTAGTACCAACTTGGTACCGAAATACTGGGTCTTTTGACAACACTAATCTAAGCACAGGGTCTAAAGCGCACGGCGCAGCTGCACTTTTGCTAGTTTAGCGACGGGAAAAACACATGGTCTACAAGTAACGTGCAATAAACCAATCAGAGTCTCATCTCGCATCCCCTTTAAAGGCCAGTTGCGCTTGTCCTTGGCGGATTCGCTGTTTACACGGCAGAATTAGACTGAACGCTTCTCCAGAGAGGAAAGCTTCCATCTGCGGGGCACAATAATAATCGCTTTAATTTTTAGTATCTGGCGTGTTTGTGTGTGTGATAAGCAGAGTGTAGGCTCATATTACTAACGCGCTCTTTAATTAACAAAGAAAATATTGCACCATTGACTTTAGACCAGGTTTCAGTTGCCTCAAAATAGCACACCTGGTTTTCAGAGCAGCACGCCCATGAGCGCACAAATCAGCACAAATGCATTTGCTGTTTAAACAACGTGGCGCAGGACGTGAAAATGATTACTGCGTCGGGCTGAAACTAGAAAAAACACTTGTGCCGGGTGCTTGATAGGGCCCTATTTTACAGAGCGTACACTACAGTGTTTTGTGATCTTGTAATGGTTCTGTTGCTGGAGTAATCCTGTGTTTGCATCTCTCCTCTACTACAGGTGCGTATCGGTGGGCGGGGCTAAAGAGGCGGAGTTTAGTCACACTATTACATCATAAAGTGCACATTCCAAAACAAGCCGTTTTCTGAGCTTGGTTTCAATAAAAGCTGTTTTTAGATTAATGAGAACGTTTTGAGTTTTGAAACTTCCAAGATGTTTTTATAATACCTTGACCAGTTAAATGTCAAAAGATCAAGGGAAATTTGATTTCTTAGTTCATGACCCCTTTAATTTATTATTATGAGCAGATTTTATTCTCGTATAAGTTATGGGTTTGGGACGGCGTGAGGGTGAATATATAATGACAGAAGCATCATGCGTGTGAAATCTCGTGGTGTTTTTGTGCAGCTATCCTGAAAACATGCTACCAGACGCCGAGGATGTCGAACCCAAAACCATGAGCATCGGGATCAATAACGTCTTTGAAGTCGGCTGCGGTACGTCTTAATTTCAGCAGACCGTCGGCTCAGCATGAAGCTTCTCTCAACTAATGTAACTTGAATTTGTTTTCAGTGTCTCAGGCCTTGAAAATCGGGGACAACAATGTGATTGAGTCCAAAGGTGAGAGCGCGGCGTCTGAAAGGATGGAGTAGCGCAGGTAAAGCACCGCTGATGTGTGTGTGTGTGTGTGTGTGTGTGTGTGTTCAGCTGAGGTCGGGAGGAATGTGATTTTGACCAGCGGGTGTATCGTGGGAGCGTGTTGTGCGGTGAACACCTGTGAAGTGATTCCAGAAAACACCGTGATCTACGGCTCCGAGTGTTTGAGACGCGTGCAGACCGAGAGACCGCAGGTAACACACACACACACACACCGTGTGTTTCTGATACACCTGAGAAACCTGCTGCTATTCTGACCGTCTCTGTCCTCTCTAGCCTCAAACGCTGCAGCTGGACTTCCTGATGAAGATCCTGCCCAATTACCATCATCTGAAGAAGACCGTGAAAGCAAGCTCCACTCCGGCGAGAAGCTGAAAGCAGCGCAGCCGAGGATCTCAGATGTAACGTGATCATGAGCACAGATCTGGTTCTGCTTACAGTGCGTTTCCTTTGGTCGCTGCATGCGATGTTTCGGTATTATAGTGTCGTAGGTTGTGTTGTAAGTTATTGATGACACATTAAATCCTCTTTCATATGTAGCTGGTGTCTCACGCTCTGTTTCTTGTGCTCTTTCATTTCTTCTCCACATGGTGGCGCCAAATCTACACGATGACAGAAGAAGCGAGTTAATGAAATGTGTTATTGTTATTGTGGCACATGCATGTTTATTCAGCAGTTTAAAGGTTATTGTTTTGAACATTATAGTTCTGCTGATCGCTGATTATATAGAAAACATAGGTTCTCATTTGATTGAATATGACAGTGTGTATAAATAGCAAACAGCGAGTCTGTGAGCTATAAAGGGCAGGTTAAACTTGAGACAGGTGACCTTTGCATCGTGCTTTGAATTGAACTTCTGATGTGAATCGACACTTACTCTGCAATATTTCTGTACACTTTAAACATTATGGGTGTTTTTTTTTTGCTGTTAGAGTAATATTTTAAATGTTTGTGGGAAACTTCTAATTCATATCACGAGCAGCATTTTATAAATGTATCACTCACCATTTGTTAGACAAGAGATGAAAAGAGTTTAACATTTTAATGGGTTGCACTTTATTTCGATGTTCCACATTTGCACGACTAGTTGACACTTAGTTGCAAAGTTATTTATAGGTAGTTGAATGGCTAAAGTGGAATATCAAAATTGTTAGTTTTTAATGTCAAACGTTTCCTGTAAATCAAGCCTTTTAAGCGCCAGAACAGAGATGTGCTCGAGCTCAGGAGTTTAATTTCATATTTCTGCCCCAGAATGAACAATACCAGCAGCTCGGAGGAAGAGGTGAGTTACTATTTACTTAAGAATAATGAAAATCATCAACTCAATGATGGTAGCTAATTAATGGATGCTGATCTTAATGACACGCTTCAGTACTGTGTGTGAGTGATCAGATCACTCGTTTCTCACATGAGTTTCTGTATTCTGACACGAGGAACACTAATCTACAGAAAGTGAAAAGTGTTGTGTGCTGATGATGTAGAATAGACTCGTTCAGAGATGTTTCTCCTGCCGTTTCAGCATCAGCTGCACCTGTTTCTGGTTTTTCTGCAGGTCAGGACTCAAACCCAGAGAGCTTTACCTGGTATTCAGGCCTTTTCAGGTGCGTGGAGAAGTTCATGTGTGTTGGATCTGAATCCGTGAGAGACAGACATTTAAATGTGTTTTCCTTACATTACTTACAGTACATGACGTTACTGTCAACATGAACTGCGTTTCATTTTTGATTCTCTTCAAGTTTCAGCATCAGCTGCACCTGTTTCTGGTTTTTCTGCAGGTCAGGACTCAAACCCAGAGAGCTTTACCTGGTATTCAGGCCTTTTCAGGTGCGTGGAGAAGTTCATGTGTGTTGGATCTGAATCCGTGAGAGACAGACATTTAAATGTGTTTTCCTTACATTACTTACAGTCCATGACGTTACTGTCAACATGAACTGCGTTTCATTTTTGATTCTCTTCATTAGGGTTATGAAGGCCCTTTAATCAAAGTTACCTGTAAGCAGGTGAGAAATATCAATGATTCCTCCAAGTAAATGAATCACAAGTATGTAATGCATATTATACCTACATGACTTATTAATATTCTCACTGGACCCTTTTTACTGTTCCAGGGATTTCTAAAGTGGTCATAAAATCCTCCTAAACTGTGACGTACTCCGCTGTTATAGTAGAAGCACAGTCACAGCGATGTTAACTAGATAAAGAAGGTCGTCCAGACTAACTTTGATGTTGGTTTGAGAAAGCCATGCAGTCTATCAGACAGAAGGAGGTGTTCTGCATGGCTGCTAAGAGTTTGACATCAGCCTCTCAAAGCTTTTCATTGCACTGGGGGTTAATGCCACAGTAAGACAACTGTACAATCTCTTTGTGATTAGTTGTACTTTATTATTTGCATTTAGCATTGTTTTCCCTGATATCAGTGACCCATCAGAACAGACCTGAGAACCACTGCTGTAGAGATCATGAATGAGATGAAAAAGCACACATCATGTCAAGCTCATATCATAAGAGTGTGATGTGAGGATGAGATGGATCCAGCACGTTTGCTATAATGATGTTTGTTCCTCTTTGTCAGGGCGTTCGCTCTGACCCGGATATTCCCCAGACTTTACGGCTGGAGTTTGCCAAAGCCAACACCAAGATGGCCAAGAACAAACTAGTAGGAATGCTAAACCCTTCGGCATCCAGACAGAGTCCTGCACCTCTGTGTCAGTCGAGAGCCCTGTGAGTAAAACACACTACAACTAGATCTAAACCTGATCTATTCTGACTGCAGACTTACCCAAACTCCCAAAGAGCCCGAAACCACAAAACATCCTGCAGATCTGAGATCTGTCTGCTGATTTCCAGTACATTTTGCTTCTCTGTCAGGATTAACCAGGAACTTCACCAAGCAATAGTAGCATGACCAAATCAATTTTAATATTTTAATACCAAAAAATATAATCGCCTGTGACACACATTTGTGTCATCACTCTTTATTTTATTTTGGTTTAGGACCTTCACATATTAAATAATTTGTGTGAACTGCTCTCAGATGCCTCAAACGAATCCAAGATGCCTGCTAAGAAATCAGTTCAGCTCTCCTGAAGCCTGTATTCATTGTCAGTGTGTCGCTCTGATATTCCACGCCGCTTCGAGTCGAACACACCTCTGTTGCTGTCGCTGTAGCTGCTCGAGCGCGGAGATAACGGCGGACAGGGCGGGGTTATGCTAATGCAGGACAGTCCGTCAGCGCTCGTGGGCAGGGCTTCAGAAAATCAAAGCGGCTTGATTATTGAGACTTTAGGTTTTTTGGGGATTAAAAAAAGGATGGTTGGGTGGATGTGTCCACACACTGCTAACACACATTTATTGCAAACAGCATGTAAAAGTGATTTTTGCATCTGATGTCCCCTTTAAACAAAAGCATCTGCACTATAAAGATCAAAGGTTGAAAGATATATCACCAAGGCATTTTTAATGATCAGATTCAGCAGAATATTATTTAAATATGCGATTGTCTCTCCTTAAACTCTGCAGTAGGCCCATAGGCTACGTGACCGTTGGTCCTTTATAGAAGCATTAAAAACAAAACGTATAAAATAGGCTACAGAAAGCAAGCAAAGAGCGCTTCCGAAGCTGTCATTAACTTCAGCTGCTGCGCGGATGGCTATAATGTGCAACGCTGCAAATTGAATTGTAAATAGAAATCTCTGACGGTCTTCAGACTGCAGCGTGCACACGAATAAGCTAGACGTTTGTGTCAATAAGGTTGAAGTCTTTCGCTGGTCTGTTAATTCTGCTAAACTTCAATTACTAAAACTGAAACTATATAAAAACCAAATAGAAATGTGTTCACAAACTAAAAATTACACTAAAACTAACACAATTATTATTGTAACTAATAAAAACTAAACAGATTTTTTTTTATTGGAATAAAACGAGTTTAAAAATGCAAAACTATAATAACCTTGCTGCAAACCTGTGCGTGTGAACAGAAATGGAGAAGCAGATGATCTGCCTCCAGTGTTTGTGTCAGATTCGCTGGCTGCCGACCGTTCTGTTGACGTCTGTGTGAGTATAAGTGTCCTCATAAACCATATATCCAAGCACACGCAGAGTAAACACAAGATTTCTACATTACACACCTGTGGAAAATGACTCCACGAACACCCTCAGCTCTCCTCCATCAGAGCAGAGCAATGATTCGGCTTAACATCCTTTAATCAGTATTTCTGAGTCAGTGATGACAAAGAACCCATTTATGAAAGATAATATCAAGATCATGCCTGTCACTGAATCTTGTTTTGTCTGAGATGTTGTTTCGACATTTAAATCAGAAAAGAAAAAGGACTGATTTGTGTTCATGGAGCAGCTTTGTGTGTCTCTGCGGCTTGAGTTTGATGTTTTTCAGTCTGCAGGTGCGGCGGCGACACAGACGTCCTGATCTTTCTCTGTTCATCTGAATTACTCTCCCATCTGTCTTCTGCCTGAAACCAGAAACAAGAAGTGAGAGACTGTTGTGTAAGTTATAACATTCGATCAGCCGCTCATCGTCACTAATGCTGCTGCCTTTTGAAACAGTAACCAAATAATGCAGCAAATAATAAAGAAAAACAAGTCCATCCCTCCCTTTGGAATGAAAAAAGGTGACCTCTGCTCTGTAAACATACACGTATTTCTCTTTTGAAAATAAATGCAAATAGATCACAGAATGATTTAGTGTTTTCAGAAAGCATTCTTTCTACATTCCTTTGGACCTGAGGTAGAGAACTCGGAAACATGGTGGGAAACATATCTTGTTGATTTTTGACTTATACATAAATAATACTGTAACAGGGATAACAAAATCACAAAGTTAATTAAGTATTATGATTAATATAAGACTAATATTAACTTTATTGATCCCCCAGGTGAAACTGCTACTAATGAGGGGAATTAACTGAACTGTTATTGTCACCGTCATCCATGCATATTCATTTGAATAATTCAGATAGCACACCTAGGTTCCTAACTGATGACGAATAATTAACAGAGCAGCCAGGTGTTAGAGTCACTAGTAACATAATCTTTAAAATATGTACTAGTGCATTTGATGGAACTCTTATTTACTTGTGACAAGAATAATCTTAAACACATATACAGTAACATGTTGCTGAAGATATTCACCATAATAAGTGTTTGTGCATCTGTACTAATGATACAATCACAAATATTGGATCTGCTAGTCATGAATCTGACCTGTAGTCTGTTCCTGTCACTCCTACTCTTAGCTCTGATCTCAGGCTGCTGTGAACCACAGAACACAAGAACAGACCTCTCTCTCCTGGACGTCCCTTCTTACATTGTGTGTCAACTTTATTATAGTTAATATATGCATGAACTATGATCATTTACAATGTTATTCTTATTGGTTCAATCAATAATTACTGTAAGTTCTAACGGGGTTGATGCATGATGCCTTGCCAAAAAGATTGCAATATTTACACATTTTTATAATAAATTAAATGAAATGTTTTCGGTGCCATTTTAGTGTAATTTCTATATGTTGTTTCTTATATGTACAATAATGTTTTTGATGTTTTATTGAGCTGTCATTAATCTGCTTCAATCATTAAAAACATTGTGAGACATGTTTGAAAACAGGCTGAGAGACTCGTTTAATGTTTAAATATAGTTAGAGAAACTTCGTCCCCCTCAGATGTACTAATAAGCAGTGTTTCTGCGGGCCGGAGCACATGCTGCTGGATATAAACTTGAGTTCTGGCAAATGTTGTGCTTACATGCTTTTCCACTTTCAGCCTTAAAAAACCTTATTATATTTGTGCTAGTCTGTGTCTAATTGTGTGTCCTCTGGAATCAAAACGTTCATGATACCACGATTGGCAGATATGACAGTTTTTAGGTTAGGTGATGTGATCTTTGATTTATTCTATATAACACATTTGAAGAAGATATTCTGTACATTTGTGAAAGGTGTTTTTGCCTCATATGTGAGCTGGGTGCATTCTGAAGGCTGTGTAGGCCTATGTGACTGCGCTTCTGAAGGGAGAATACAGAAGAAAGTACCGGAGATGGGAGATGCTATAGGATGAGATAGTACAGAAATAGATAATGTGTGTAAAAACTCACAACATTTAAGATCCTAAAAGGTATATGCCTCTGCAACCTTGGCACACACTCACTCACTCACTCATACACACTCACACACACTCACACACACACTCTCACACACACTCACTCAGACACACACACACACACACTCTCTCACACACACTCTCTCACACACACACACACACTCACTCACTCACTCACTCATACACACTCACACACACTCACACACACACTCTCACACACACTCACTCAGACACACACACACACACACTCTCTCACACACACTCTCTCACACACACACACACACTCACTCACTCACTCACTCATACACACTCACACACACTCACACACACACTCTCACACACACGCACGCACGCACACTCACGCACACAAGCTCCAAAAAAACGCGCACACACAAACACTTACAGACACGCACTCACTCACTCATACATATACACACACACACACTCACTCACGCACGCACTAATGCACACGCGCACACACAGACACGCGCACACACACTCACTCATACGCACACTCACTCACGCACGCACGCACACTCACTCACAGACACACGCACACTCACTCACTCAGACACACGCACACTCACTCACTCATACACGCACTCACTCACTCACACACATGCACACACTCACTCATACACGCACACTCACTCATACACACAAACACGCACACACACGTACACACACACACTCACTCACTCATGCATACGCACGCACACACTCACTCACTCATACACGCACACACACTCACTCACTCACTCACTCATTCACTCAGACACACGCACATTCACTCACTCACTCACACACACGCACACTCACTCACTCACACACTCACTCGCACACACACCCACTCACTCATGTACACTCACACACATACAGTCACTCTCACTCACTCACACTCTCTCACACACACAATCTCACTCACTCACACACTCACTCACTCAATCACTCACTCACACTCACTCACTCACGCATGCATGCACACTCACTCACTCACTCATACGCACGCACACGCGCGCACACACACACTCACGCACGCATACACACGCACACAGACTCACTCACTCACAGACACACGCACACTCACTCACGCACGCACTAACGCACACGCGCACACACAGACACGCGCACACACACTCACTCACACGCACACTCACTCACGCACGCACTAACGCACACGCGCACACACAGACACGCGCACACACACTCACTCACACGCACACTCACTCACGCACGCACTAACGCACACGCGCACACACAGACACGCGCACACACACTCACTCACACACACTCACTCACACACACTCACACACACGCACTCACTCACTCATACATATACACACACACACACACTCACTCACGCACGCACTAACGCACACGCGCACACACAGACACGCGCACACACACTCACTCATACGCACACTCACTCACGCACGCACGCACACTCACTCACAGACACACGCACACTCACTCACTCA